TCAAGGGCTAGGGATATAGCTCAGTGGCACAGTCCTTGCCCTGCAAGCAGGCAAGCACAAGATCCTGAGTTTGATTCCCAGTATTCCCTGCCCCCAAAAGTTCATTATCTCCTGTGCTAGAATGGGACTCAGTCCTGACACGAAGAACATGAGGTTTTGTTTCTGCTTTGCCAGCTTTAGGGTGTTAAGTTTACCTAAGCTGACTGTTTTCAAGATCCCAAGTTGTCAGAAGGTTTAGTCCTTTTGTGCAGATGAACACATCTCAGGCAGAAAAGAAGATGGTGTTTGGGTTCAGGAGTAAAAAATGTACTTCCATGAGACTTAGCTTCATATCTTACTAGTATTGTTTGGCACATCAGTTCCAAAACCAGCCATTGGTTGAGCAATGTATTTTTATGGAATCAAACTTCCCCTCCTCTGAACAGAACGTCCCAGCATTGCTCTGAAGCACAGTGCTGCCACCTACATGGAAAAAATAGTCTTTTGTTTTGTTTTGTTTTGTTTTCAAAGACAAAGGGTACATAGCAGTATGGTTGAAAGCTAATAATTTCTGCCTATGAATCCTTTCCTGATTAGGGATAGAATTGACTCTTAAGACCTGAGGGAAAAATCTGATCCTAGAGTATAAATTCTTCCCTACCTATCCCACTCCATTCTCCTTAATATGGACACTATATGTCTAATTTTTTCCCCAGCTTTCTCCAGTATAAGAGTAGAGAATTACTGACTCTTGCATCATAAAAGTGCAGTGAAGAGTATGTACCAAGACAACAGTGACCACAACAACACTTCAAAACCTATGTACAAGAGCTACTGTTTGCATAATTTCTTCCTAAAGGGCTTTTAATTCTTCCAGGATTGACATGAAAGATTAGTTCTTTTTTTTCTTTTGTTTTGTTTTTTAAAACAGTGTCTCACTATGTTACAGCCCAGACTGGCCTCGAACTCTCAGAGGTCTCCTTTCCCTGGCTTCCCTAGTACTGAGATTCTAGGCCTGAGCCACCATGCCTGGCAAGACTAGTTCCTTGCTGGGTATCTCTGTTGCTCATCCGTTCTCCAACAAAAGACTCTAAGACTGTAAAAACCACAACATTCCAGTTAATAAATGTCCTTTGCTGCTGATTAATGTTGGTGTATAGTGTAGTATTTCATTGATAAATGACTAAAAAATGTTCTGGATGATCTCAAGTTACTGAAGATGGTAGCAATTGAGAGCCAAATAATCCCTATAATTGTTTTTCCTTCCTGTGTGCCCTCTTTGGTTGCGGAGTGAAATTGGGATGATTTTTCTTTCGCTAACATCTTTTTGTTATTCTGAAACAACTGAAGAAACCTAATGTAGAAGAAAAAGTTTCATGGTTTTGTAATGTAGTGTGATAAAAAGTCCAGGGAAGGAACTTCAGAAATGAACAGTGTTAAGAAGTAAATTACCTAACATTTCACCTCTGAACTTTTTGTAAATTACAAAAAGTTGTTTTCAACATATCACCTTCTCTTTTTGTGTGTTCATAGTTTACATACTATTCACATGCTATTTTTGCTTAGCATGTCTGTTAATATATTCCCCACATTTGTATGTTTCCATCTTTTTGTTGACTGGATTGTATTCTGTACAGTAATTTCAGTTCTCTCAATGTTGATCATCTAGCTTGATTTTTTTTTCCTATGCTGTAGTAAAATATACAAACATAAAATTTACCATTTTAACCATTTTATTTTATTGAGGTGCTGGAGATTGAACTCAGGACCTTGGGCTTGCCAGGCAGTTGCTTATTCTACTGAGCTATCTCCCCGGCCCCCCATTTTAACCATTTTAAGTGTACACTGTTGTGCAGCTATCACCATCATCTGTCTGCAGCTGTACATCTTGTAAAATAATGTTCTACACTTACATTAAAGGATAATTTGTTTCTCCCATCTCCTGGCAATCTGCTGTTGTACTATAACACAGTGTTTTTGTTGATAACATAAAATACTTACCTTTTTGTGACTTTTTTTGATGTAGTATAACATCTTACAGGTTCCCCCAGATTAGCATATTGCAGAATTCCTTTTCATGGCTGAATGATATCCCATCATACGGGTATCAGTTTTGCTTATCCATTGTTCTGTAAATGGACCATTTATTTTCTCCCACATTGTGAGTGATACAGCTATAAATATAGGTGTACACAGGCCTCTTTAAGACCCTGATTTTTCTTTTTCGAGACAGGGTCTCACTAGGCAGTTCAGGCTGAACTTGAACTTACTTTGTAGTCCATGTTGGCCTCAAACTCAGCAATCTTCCTGCCTTAGGCTCCCACGTGCTGGGGTTGCAGGAATGTGCCTCTATGCCTAGTTACTTTTCCTGAATATACCCAGAAATAGAATTGCTGGGTCACATAGTAATTTTGTGTTTACCCTTTCAGAGAACTGCCCTCATGTTTTCTGCAGTGGCTGTGCCATAGGTTAAGTTTTTGCAGTTAATGGAAATGCTCTAAGACTCATTTCTATGACTATATTAATTTTCAGTCTTTCAAAAACTGGTAAATATCGAAGTTTAGTTGTTGGAATTCTTTTCTTTTTAGAAGCAAGAGAAAAAGAGGAAGAAATGAACAGAGAGAAACAATTAAGACAAAATGAAGATACTGAACCAACATCGTCGGGCTCAAATGTGATCAGAGATTGCTCAAAATCATCATCGAGGTACCTAATTTTCTTCAGAGGCTTCTATTGAACTGACATTTTCTAGGTTTTCGTAACACAATTTAGGGAAAATTCCTGATATTAACACGTTGCATAATTTTTCATTTTAGGCAGTTGTGTATCCCTAGGTCAGAAAAAATTCCTGTGTAAAATTTGGAATCAAGGGCCGGCCGAATAGCTCGGCAGATTAAAGCGCCTGCTTAGGCAGATGCAGTGGCCAGGGTTTGATTCTCGGCCTGCCATGCTGGCCCCATCCTCGAGGCACACCTAGAGGGTAATTGAGACTGGGTGTGATGGAGTGTGTCTGTAATCCCAGCTCTTTGGGAGGCTGAAAACAGGCAGATCACTACAGTCTGATCTGAGTCTGATCTACGTAGTGAGACCCTGTAGATCCTGTATACCCTATAAGCCCTTACTAAAATACAAAAACAAAGCAAAGCAAAAATAGAATAAAACGTGAATTCAGTGGTCGACTTTGTACAGTATTTTTTTTGTGACCAATGAAAAGTTTAGGGAACTAGTTTGACAATTAAATGTATCTCTAGGGCCTGGGATATTGCTCTGTGACATGACACTTATACATAGCATGCAAGAGGCTCTGGGTTTGTTTTGTACATTTTGGTTTTGTCAGTTGATATTGTTGATATTGTCAGCTACCAGGATAGCTACACCTCCTTTTTTCTGATTGCCTGTGGCATGGAGGATTACTTTTCATTCTTTGACTTTTAGTTTGTGAATTTCCTTTTGAGTTAAATTTGTTTTTTGTTGTATGCAGCATATTGTTGGATTTTGTTTCTTAATCCACTCTGCTAGTCTGTTTCTTTTGATTGGTGAATTGAGGCCATTTATATTGATGGTTGTAACTGATATGTATTGGCTTGTCTTTGTCATGTTATTTTCCTGTTATAGGTTCTGTAATTTTTCCCTCTTTTTAATTACTTGCTCTGTTTGGTGGTTCCTTTTTGTTGTTCTTGAAGCTGTGATCACTTCTGTCTCTTTCTAAAATATGTGTCAGTGTTCTTTGTAGGGTTGATTTGGTGGTCATGAATTTCTTCAATTGTTCTTTGTCGTGGAAGGATCTTATTTCATGATTGAATTTGATAGATAGATTTTCAGGGTACATCACTCTGGGTTGGAAGTTCTTTTATTTTTTTCTTCTTCTTCTTTTTTTTTTTTTTTTTGCAGAACTGGGGATTGAACTCAGACCCTTGCGCTTGCCAGGGAAGTGCTTATTCTACTGAGACATATCCCTGGCACACCCCCTCCCCTTTTTTTTTGCATGGAAGTTACTTTCTTTCAGGACTGAAATACTCTAAGATCTTCTTGATTTGATGGTTTGTGTTGAGAAATCTGCCATGATTGTGATGGGCTTTCCATTGTAAGTGATCTGTTTCTTTTCTTCTATTCTTTTCCTGAATTTCTGAGATCTTGATTATTATGTGTTTAGGTGTAGATTTATCGTGATTATGGCTGTGTAGAGTACTATATGCCTCATTTATTGGTATGTCAGGTTCTTTCCTCAGTTTGGAAAATTTTCTGCTAGTACTTCTGCAAATAGTCTTTTTATGGCATTTGTGCTGTCGCCTGCTGCCTCATTGATGCCTATTTTTTATATTATTTTTCTTTCCATCATCTTGTAGCTGCTGAATTGTTATTTCCTGATTCCTTGTTAGTTTTAAGAGATGTTTTATTTCGTGTTCATTATCTGCAACACTGTCTTTGGGGTATGAAAGTTTATCTTCAGTTTCATTTAAGCAGTTCTGCCAGCTTTCAATGGAGTTGTTAATGTCCTGGATATCTGTTTGAATCTGTTTCATGCTGATTCTTTCCTGTATTGTTTATTCAGTGTTTCCGTTGTTTTTCTGTTCTCCTCTATTTTTCTTTCTATGTCTTCTTTAGCTGTGCTGAGCATTCCTTTCATGATTGTTGTTCTTCCTTTTTGGAACCGAGGCATTTTTCCTGCTCTTATTTCTTCTATAGCCTGATGGACTTGTTTCTTTATATCAGTTGCTATCATTTCAGAGATTTCAGGTGTGTGATTTTCAAGTTCTTGTATGTGTCTCCTGGACTTGTTCTGGGTGGGCTGGAGGACTGAGATTGCCTTTTGCTCCTGCATTTTGGCATTTTTGAATCTCCCATTAATCACCCCGATGTCCCATAGGCTGCCCAGAATGTGCCAAAGTTTTTAAATGACCCTAGAAAAGCTCTGTGCCCTCTCACGCTAGGCTCACAGATCACAGCTCCCCACAGGCCACTCAGAGTTCCCAAAACTAAGTTCCCAAAATTTTGGACTGGCACCAGCAGAAGCTCCACACTAATGCACTGGGGGTAAGGAAGGTCAGAGCCCACCAGAGTCCCACAGGGTGCTCGGAGTACTCCAGAGTTCTTAAATGGTGCCAGGAAAGCTCTGCACCCAGTCCTGTCCAGTCTTAAACTCCTTGTGTAGTGAATGCTCACCTTGAAGACAAAAATCTGCCGCAGCCTCCTGAGAGCTGGTATTACAAGGTGTGCAGGAACATGGCTTTATAGTTTGTGTAAGGAAGGGGAATAGGACTACAAACCTGACTCTCCTTTTTGTAACAGTGCATCCCTGATACCTCGAAGTCTCTGGAGCATATTGGTATCTTTGTATATACTAGTGGAGAGCAGAGACTGCCAGTTATTTTTCTGTCAGAGGCAGTTCGTAAATTTTTTTTTAATGTATTTAGTACAGGGTCTACAGGGTCTCACTGTATAGATTGGACTTACAGTAATTCTTCCATTTTCAGCCTCCAAGCACTGGGATTACAGGTGCACACTACTACGCCCAGTCTCAATTGAGGTCTCAGCGCGCCCTGGGGCAGGGCCGGCTTGGTGCTGTAGTCCTCTGAGCTGTCTGACCTGACCCAGATAGTGAATATTTTATGCATTAGGAGCCATACAATTTCTTTCTCAATTGTTGAACTTGTTATTGCAATTCATCTGTAAAGGAATGATTTAGACTGAATGCCAAAAGAACTTTAATAATAAGCAGTGTACCCAAGTTAGTTAACCCTTGCAGTGGAGTGTCATTTTTTTATTTACTAATAAAAGTTTAGTTTTGCATTGTCTAATGTTTCATATTAGTTAAAAGGAAATGTTCCTTAGCTGGTCTTGGTGGCATATGCTTGTACAGTAATCCCAGCACTAGGGAGGCTGAGACAGGAGTATTGCCATGAGGTTGAGGCCAGCCTGAACAACATAGTGAGACTCTGCTTCAAGGAATAAAAACAACAATGAAAGGAGATGATCCTTTTCTTTTAAAGAACTTTTAGTGTTTACATTTAGTTCCTTTTGGTGTAATTTAAGATGTTAAGAGCTGTAGAGTTTTTGTAGAGCTTTACCTTTTTGACTAATAATGATTCCATTAATTGAGAACTGTTAATAAGTTTATTTGTTCTGTTGATTCCACATTTTCCTGCATAGTAACCATAATGCCACAGATCTACTGTTGCTGTTGGGAGTAAGTTTTATTGTCATGACAGAACTCAAGCATTCCAATATTGGTGATCCCTGGGGTTAGTTCCCAGCACTGCCGAAAAACAAAACCAAACCAAACCTCTAAACCCCAGTATTACTTTTGCCACTGGTAGATTACATTAAAAAATTACTATTGGCACTATTATTGTAAAATGCAAAAATATAAATAACCATGGGGAAATTATAATAACAAATTTATCACTATATTTTATTGATCAAAGAATGAAAGTTTACTTACTACTATCTCAGGGAGGCCTCTGCTGAGTAATGCGTGGCAGATGAATAGACCTGCTGAAACTTCAGTTGGTAGTATATTAATATTGAATGTATTAGGTTGATTTTCTCTAGTTTTAAGGACTATTTAAGGTGCTTCTGTGCATTGAATCATGTTACAATAGAAGTAACTTGGGCTAAATTAAAATATCCTGGAAGTCTGTTTAAAGAAATACATGCTTTTTAAGAACTTTTTTTTTGGCAGAACCGGGGATTGAACTCAGGCCCTTGTGCTTGCTAGAGAAGCACTTATTCTACTGAGCCATCTCCCCAGCCCCTAAGAACTTCTATTGCACTGCAAAATGCAATCCAGAATGTTTCTACTTCAATAGAATGAGTAAACTGGGTGTAGCGATGCATGCCTTTAATCTTAGCATGTAGGGGGTTGAGATAGGAGAGTCACTACAATTTTGAGGCCAGCCTGGGCTATATAGTGAGTTCCAGCATGAACTACAAAGCAGACCTTATCTCAAACCAAACCAAACTAAACCAAACCAAACCACACCACACCACACCACACCACACCAAACCAAACGAACAACAACAGCAAAACAGCATGTTATTTTTAGAATTTAGCACCTTGAGGAAAAAAAAAAAAACTCTTATAAATGCTTTTCACAACTAAATACCATTGGCCTTTTTGGTATGGTTTCATTTCGTTTCTTTTCTTTCTTTTTTTTTTTTTTGGCTGGCTCAGCCTGCCCTGGGGGTGGGTCTGGTGCTGTATGTGGTGCCGGGTATTGAACTGTGGTCCCTGCACTTGCCTAAGCAGGTGCTTTTTTTTTTTTTTTTAATTTTATTGAGAAACAAATATGAATGAGACAGTTTCAAAGCTGATTTATAGGAAGTTTCAATAATCAGTACATTGTACATTGTTATTTTCTTAGTGGTTATCCATAGTTCAAGAAGCAGACAGGATATCCTGTCCAAACACTACTAGTACACCTCTTTCTTCTCATTGAATTAAGTGAAAGTAGCTGTATGTCTATCCTATTTTGCATATATAAATACAAAATGATTTTTCCTTTGTAACCCCTTTTTTTTGTTTCGTCCTGTCAGAGGTGGGTATTTTATTGGCATCTAAATACTATAGGTATTTGAATTCAGCAAAACAATCCAACACTGTCTAGCAGTCTATAATATTAGTGGGTTATCCTCAGAAGGTATTGATTTGAGCCTTTTACAGCTCATTGTTTTAATGTGGCTTTACTTATATACCTTGTTTTTAT